GCTCGCCACCGGGCCGGCCAGCACCACCACGACTACGGCAGCAGCGGCGACGAGGGCGGCGACGAGGGCGGCGACGACTACATGGCGGCGGCGGAGGCGGCCATCGCGGCGCTGGGCAGCAGGGTGGACTCGCGATGTCGGACCTTCCGGGACTGCAAGCCGCTGCTCATCCACAACTCGCGCGCGCCGGCCGGCCGCGAGTTCCGCAGGGCTCCGGTCCAGGTCAGTGGGGAACGCACGCGGGGAAAGTCCAGAGCGGCGCCGGGGACGTCTTGAGTGCTCTTCTTTCGTGTGTGTCTGCCACGCCGCGCAGTCTCCCCTGGACGAGCCGATGGTTCTGGCGGACGAGGTCATCTTCCCGCTGACCGTCTCTTTGGACCAACTCCCCGTCGGCACCGTCAAAGTCAAGGTGGCCCCTCCGCGCGTGGCATTTCAGACAAGGGCCTTTCGAGCTTGACTCTCCGTGCGGCGTCTGACGTCCGGTCTTCGCGCGGCCCGAGACGTCTTGTCCCGTTACGGAGAGCGAGCGAGCCCCCGTCGGATAGGCTCGCCTCGGTGCGTCCTCAGCTCCGCTGTGTGGCCCTCAGGTGATGGTGACGGTGTGGAAGGAGGAGGCGGAGCAAGCCGAGGTGCAGGAGTTGGGCTACTTGAGCGTCCTGCAGCAACGAGAGCCCTCGCTCACCTTCAGACACGACCTGAACACCTTCAAGGCTCAAGGTTTGCTCTTCGCACGCGTCAGCGGCACGTCTTTCGATGCAGCCTTACGCGCCCCTCCGAATGTTTCAAAACAAGTCCTCGCGATGACACCTCTTATCGATTGATTGATTTGGAAAACGACAACATGTCCGCCGAGCCTTGGTTGATGCAAAGGAAGGCCCCAGAACGGCGGTGTCCGGGGGTCATCCAGATCGGGTGGCCGAGCCACCAGATCTGGCCCCCGGAATGGGCGGCCTTGGATGGGCTCACCGCCGCCGCTCCCGCGCCGCCGCTGGCGCCGCCACCGTCCTTTGGATGCCCCGCAGCCGCGTTTCCTCACACTCGTCCGCACTTGTCTCCGCTTAGTGAGCACCACCCTGAGCGTCCTGCCGCCTCCCGCCGTCCGCTGTAAGCTGATGAGCGTTTCGGGGCGCCACCTGGCGGTGCTCAAAGGTACGGCGCTTCGACGCCTCCGGCCGCCGTCCGAACCGGCACGGACCTTCTCGTTGTGCTCGCGCTCAGTGCTCAACAAGGCGTCGCAGGAGGAGGTGCGCGTGCGCGACGTGCGCATTCTGCCGGACCTCAACGCCTCCTACCTGCCCGTCATGCCCGATGGCTCCGTGCTGCTGGTGGACAACGTTTGGTACGTACACCAAGCGCGGTCCTTTGTTTTGTTGGGAGTTTTGGCAAGAACCTCGTCCGATTTTGGGAGCCAAATCATTTGGGGAACATTCGAGAAAACAAGAAAGAAAGCCAACAAATCCAACAAACGAGAAGAGCCCGGTTCAATTTCGCCCGTGCGACACAAAATCTGCACATGCGGACGACCAGGACGGAAAAAAAGTCAGCAAGCAGATACAGTGTTTCTTGTTGAGAGAGCCACAGTAAGACCAAAACGTCTTGAATGATTTTTAGACAAAGGAAGGCGTCTTTTCCGGAAGTAAAAGGTGCCATTGTGAAATTTAAATTGGAATTTTCTCCCCCGATAAACTTTTGCACTGCCCTTCTTTTTAAGATTGTCTTTAATTCTTATTTTTGGCAGTTGTTTACATTCCAGACTTGGGGGGAGATTCATTGGATTGAGATTTTTTCCAATAGGAAATGTTGCGGTTTTCAAAACAGGTTTTGCGTGACTCTTTTTGTTCAGATTACAATTTATTTATTTTTTTCTTTCTTGGCAGGGGAAAAAAACTAATCATACATCTGTTTTGGGGGGAGGGGGGGGGAATAGCGCCTTTGTAATTCCCCAGCGGCAGTTCATCTGAATTGGGGGCGGGGTCAGCAAGTTGAAAGCGCTCCTTTGATAGCCTTCTGTCGCTCGCCGCAGCCACCGCTCGGGCGAGGTGGGCATGGCGTCTTTCTGCAAGGTGGACAGCGCCGCGTGCCGCCTTCCCAGCATGCTCGGCACCTTGGAGGAGCACGACTTCCTGTTCCAGCTGCACCTCAACAACATGCCGCAGGACGAGTCCAATGAGGTGCGTTGGCAACTCGTCGCCCCATCGCGCGCTTGCTGAGCCAATCATCGATTCCGGAGCGCTTCTGTGTTCTCTTCGATGCCACGTCATAACCTACGCTCGAATGCGCCACTTGCGTCCTTGTGCTCAGGGCATGGAGGTTCCTCTGGTTGCTGTGTTGCAGTGGTCGACTCCCAAGATGCCGTTCACCAACTGCATCTACACCCACTACAGGTATGAGCGTCGCCACCCGCTCGCCGCATGCCGGCCAAAGCCAGACGCCGCGTAAGCGGCAAACGTGTCCGCAATCCGTCCTCCAATCGAAGGGCGTCGAATAGTGGAAGAAGTCTCCTTCAACTTCTTCGCTTTCGTCGTCGTCCGACGCGCTTGAAGGGACAGCGTGCGCGCTTTAGTGCCATCTAGCGGCTACCTAATAGAAGGCAACGACCTCCGAGGCGCCGGCGTGCAAGGCTACCGGCGCTTTCTTCGTCGAGGACGGGAGCAAAGTCTTTGTCGCGGTTTACTTCCCCAGGTTGCCAAGCATCCGCCTGGACCGCCCGAGGTTCGTGATGACCGCCAGCTGTCCCAGCACCGTCGAGGTCAAGGAGCGCTTCAAGGTCAAATATGTGCTGCTCAACAACCTGCAGGACTTCCTGTCCGTGCGCCTCGTCTGGACTCCCGAGGGTGGGTTCGGCTTTTGCCGCCTCCCCTTGCCAGTCTCGAGTGCGAGTCAAAGTTGTCGCTGTTGCTGTTGTTGGGGTTTTTCTCGGACGATTCATTTCAGCGGGGAATGCCGAGCTTTGGGCCAAGCGTTGTCGCCGCGAGCCATATATCGGACTCCGTTCTCTTGTGACAGGGCAGGCGTTTGTGTTTTCAGGGCGCGGTCAGAGCGAGGACGCCGCGCCGTCGGCGGTGGTGTGTCACAGCCCCCTCAGCAACCTGGGCCACTGTCGCAAGGGCAGCACTCTGACTTTCAGCGTGGCCTTCCAGGTCCTCCGACCGGGACTCTACGAGGTAGCGCGCCACCGCAAAACCCTCGTTAGCGATGCGGGGCTCGGGAATCGGCTCACGGTCGGGAAGGAGGCCGCCGCGTCGGGATTCCTTCGCTCATTCCTGACTTGGGCCACCGTAGCTGCCCAGTGCACAATTCGTGTGCGCTTTTGAGTCAAAAGTCAGCCTCGCCATTGTCGCTATTTTACGGAGGAACGCCGGTTGACAAATGTCTTCCCTTCTGCGACTCCATTCGTAAACCGGGTTCATGCTTCCTAGTGAAACATGAAACATCCACGAAGTGAGGATTCGGGGGTTAGCGCATATTTGATCCACGCAGGCTGTGTAGGAAGTGAGCGGCCGATGGATGACCCGGCCCTCCTTTTTGCCTCCTCAGCTCAGTCAGCACATGAAGCTCAAGCTGCAGTTCACGGCATCCGTGTCCAACCCGCCACCCGACGCCAGGCCGCTCTCACGTAAGCGCGCCTCGCGCACCACCGGGTCCAAGCTAAGGAGCACTTCTTAAGGTCTCCTCTGAAGAAGACACCGACTACGCCTTGGGTAGATGTTAAGACGCTATAACCGAGATGTGAGGGTGACGCTAGGCAGACCTGAAAGTGGGCGGTGGGCAACTCCAATGCTGGAGGCAGCCGTCAGTTTTTCATTGATCAGCGCGGGGGGGTGACGTATTTATCATCCACCCACAAAGACCGGAAGGTGATAGGCAGACCCGAGGTGCCGGAAAGCTGAGGCGGATCCAAAGTACACACCTTCTGTCCTTGAATGCGCTCAGGTAAGAACAGCCCGTCCAGCCCGGCGATGCGAGACCTGCTGGACCGCCACCAGGCCAGTTTGGGTCGCTCCCAGTCCTTCTCCCACCAGCAGCCGTCTCGCTCGCACATGATGAGGTGAGACCGACGCTGTATGACTTTGCTTAGCCGCCTTTCATCCTGCTTGGGAGGAAAAAAAAACACACAAAAAAAAAAAGACGACAGTGAGGCCCTGTTCGATGAGACGTTGCCGATTCAGAGATCGCGTGAAAGGCATTGACAAAACGAGACTTGCAAAGTATCCCTTAGTCCCCGGTCTCTCTGCCGCTGCAAACAAGAGTCACTCCGAGTTGCCTTGTTGACCGTGAAAGCGACACCCAACAAGCAAACGATCATTTCTTCCCAGCAAAGGAGCGCTCTAGCTGAACGCTAAGAGCTGCTGCAAAATAGCATCGAATTAGCATTGGGAGCTCAGCGCGACCCGGGCTCAAGGCCAAACCCGGACTTGCCCGCATGCAGCGGAGAGGCCGGAAACAACCCTGAGGAAACCGCGAACGATGAGGCGCTCTACATCGCAGGGCTTCACTGTAGTCGCTCGGACTTTGACCGGCCCCTTAATCATCGAAGGCCAAGCTGAGAATTGTGTCGCCGCCCCGATCTTCGCATGTGCGGCTCAGGACGGGCAGCGCCATGGAGCGGCGTGCCATCACGCCCCCGGTGGGCTCTCCGGTGGGCCGGCCGCTCTACTTGCCGCCGCAGGACAAGAGCCTTCTGTCGCTGGACAAGATTGCCAAGCGGGAGTGTAAAGTTCTAGTGGTGGACCCGCGACCCGGGGAGGACCTCTAGGAGGACATCCGGGAGAACGCACCCTGCGAGCTCATCTCAAAGGACGCCTGGGAGCAGGACAGTCCGGAGGATGGCGAGGAGGACACCGAAATGTCCTTCGAAAAATCTTTTGCGTCGTGTGCAGTCTTCACCGCGGCAGATCATACATCAATACTCCCGGGCGTATATTCGTTATCTGACTCCGGCGACTCCCTGAGAAGCGTCGGCCGTCCACGTGTACCCGTTTGTCCGTATTTCGCCGCCCCGCCGTAGGCGCTCGAACAAGCCAAACGTCGACGTTCCCCGTGTCGGCGCCACTCGCCGTGTTTCCGTCGCGTGGGCCGTCAAAGTCCAAGTGTAACTTTGGGGCCATCTCGTGGAACTCTCTGGTCGTCAGTTGAGGGGCCTCGGATCGTGCAGTGACGCCATCTTGTGGCATCTCTTGGCAATTGGAAGCCTTTTTCAGCAGTGTCAATTGTTGGTTGCCATTTGTAGAACAATGTCATCACCTTCCTTCCTGTGACTCATTAATTTTACAAAGGAAGAAATTTCGGACGACATTTTTGCAGTGTTGTCAATCAACATCAGTATCAAATCGAATAAAGTTAACACATCCCACCACCCAATGAAATGAACTCCGTCTTTTGTCAACTAACCTCCGTGAGAAATACAATTAAAAAAAAAAAAAGAGCGCAACCTCTCCTTGGGGGATTCTCGCTTCGTTCTTTGGGAATCCACCTCGTTTCGAACGGAGCAGGTGGAGAAGCGCCACGGAGTTACTTTCGGCAAGAAGTTGGAGAGGACCGCAGGAAACTCGGTCCAAGCTCGACAAAGCGACACGAGACGGGAATGGACTCCCATCGAGTGGCGGCTCGGCAACCCGCAGCGCTGCCGCGTTCTTCCGGCCAGGGTGGCGCGCTTCGATCTCTTCCGAACACCGCTGAGCAGAACATACTTGCAGCCCGGCTCCTTTCCGCGACATCGCACTCCGTTCCGGGGACGCGTCGCCTTCCTTTACGTCATCACGTCATACAGACGCACATCGGCGTGGCCGGAAAGCGCCTCGCTCCCCTTCTGGAACTGCGGTCAAGCCAGCACGCACTCGCAAAGTCGAAGTCAAGTGAGCCCGCACTGCGATTGGCAATGCTCTGCATTACGGTAGTGTGCCGCCAGCGAGCGGCGTTGGCCACCTTCAAAATAAAAGAGCCACCACTCATGCATAAACGTCATTTGTTCGGGTTAAAATATATGAATAAAAACATAAAATAAGTAATTTCTTGGCTGTCAGCTAACGATACGTTCACCCCGGAACAACAAGAACTCTCACAACAGCACAAAAAAGCGTTCTCAAGTGGAGAAAATAAAGTCAATGGTAAATCTACATCAATTTCACCTGATATTAAAAAAAATAATAATAATTAAAGAAACTAATCTGGGTGATAGCGCAACCACACCAGGTTGTCGACACACTAGGGCATGCCAGGTACACAACCACAGTACAGGCATTCAGATCGAATGTTCCATTACCAATTAAAATGCCTCTCAAATATGACATTTTGAATTCCTCTGCTTATTTCAAAAGATTCTTGAAAATGAATTTCAGTTATCCCTCAATCAAACCAGACCTGCAGGACACTAGATAGAGCACTGCAGGTATCCAACAAGACCATTCGGATCTGATGTCGGCCTCTGAAATGTGACAAGATGGCCTGCGTTCTGACATGACTTGCATTCTAACATGTTGATCTTTTTGCCCATTTATAGAACATCCGAAAAGAAGGAATCCAGCACCCCGGCTCTCCACCCAGACCACCCTCGTCCGGATCAGATGTTGCATTTTGAAATAAAAGGCCTCTGAAAACTGGCATGTTGACCTGATTTCTGACAAGTTGATCTGAACACATTTTCAACGCACGTTCCCTAAAAATTTAGCTTCCGTTATCCCGTGAGGGCTGCATGTCTGGGGATAACTACAGCATTCCAGCTTTCCAACGCGACCACTCCCATCTCAATCTGATTATGCATTTGGGAATCACAGCCCTCTGAATTGTGGCAAGATGACCTGGGTCCCAACATGTTGACATTTTCAACCATTTTGAAAAAATTCCTAAAAATATCGCCTCCGATATCCTGTGAGGGATGCATGTCTGGGGACAACTACAGCACTCCAGCTTTCCAACGCGACCACTCCCATCTCAATCTGAT